TTTCTAATGTTTGTTTATGATTGATTTCAAAGTTACAGCTGGGTGCAGTGGCTCACGCCTGTAATCCCAGCACTTTGGGGGGCCAAGGAGGGTGGATCGCCTGATGTCAGGAGTTCAAGACCAGCCTGGCCAACATGGTGAAACTCTGTCTCTACTAAAAATACAAAAATTTGCCCGATGTGGTGGCAAGTGCCTATAATCCCAGGTATTTGGGAGGCTGAGGCAGGAGAATCACTTCAACCTGGGAGGTGGAGGTTGCAGTGAGTCAAGATGGTGCCATAGCACTCCAGCCTGGGCAATAAGAAATGAAACTGTCTCAAAAAAAAAAAAAAAAAATTCAAGATTATGGGTTTTTGGCCAGAATACCACAAACATGATATTGGGTCCTTTCAGTATATCATATTAGGAGATACGTGATGTAGATATGTTTCAATACTGGTGATGTTAACTCCATCACAGATTTCACTTTGAATTTAGGAAGAGTCTTATGGGATTATACTTTGAGTCTGTGCAAATATCCTATTTGCCTTTGTGCTTTTGTTTACTAATAATTTTACCATTTACTCTTGCTAGCAACTATTATTATTATTATAATAATATATTATATTGCTCTGTTGCCCAGGCTGGAGTGCAGTGGTACAATCATGGCTAATCTCAGCCCCCTGAGTAGTTGAGACTATAGACATATGCTACCACGCCTGGCTAATTATTGTAGAGATGAGTTTTCACCATGTTGTCCAGGCTTGTCTGGAACTCCTGAGCTCAAGTGAGCCTCCTGACTTGTCCTCCCAAAGTGCTGAGATTACAGGCATGAGCCACCACACCCAGCCACCTGGGTGGTATTTGCAACTATTATTGTGGTGGTATTTGCCACAAGATGGTTTTAAGTTTCTGTCGTCTTTTCTTTCCAGATACTTTTGAGTTCATCTCCTTGTCTGTTAATCCCATTTGTGGGTCCCCAGCTCCGCCTCTAGGTTTATTTACTGGAATCTCCTGTATAAAGGAGCCTTCTGCCCACTCTTAAGTGAGAGTGGGGCTGCTGCCTGGCTGGTTTTTGACGATGATTCATGGCTGCCTCTGTCCAGGGGAGAAATTAGGCCCGTGGAAAGGGAGCAGCCTTCTGACCCTGAAGAAAGGAATTGGATTTCAGTTTTGTCATTTTACTATGAGTTTTGATATGCTTACATAGACATGAACTTATATAATGATGACACTTTTAAAGTAAAATAGATCATAACATGACTGACTACCTTCTGGGTGATTAGATATACATTAAGTCAGAAAAAAAGGAAAGAGGGCCAGGTAGCAACAAAATGAAAACTTAGCCTTCAAATCCAGCTGCTTGTCAAAAGCAGAGAAAGAACACTGTCCTCAAACCCAGCATGAATGAAATGATGACCTTTATGAACTCTGATAGCTTTAGAGAATCAAACAAAGCCTTTTCATTGTTCTTGGCAGGAGCCTCAGGAGTGCCTTTGACTCAAGAACAAAACTTTGATTCGAAAGGGGCTGTGGCTTCTATTTTTCCTTCATAGAAACGAAAACCGCAACCTTTCCTTTCTTACAGAAAACTGCACTCTATAGGTAATGAAATAAAGGCAGGATGTTTTGTTGAATGGATTTCAAGTGTTTTAGGGATGGGAACTCACCATTCCTCACAATGCTTCCTTACAGGCAGGCAAGGGATAGGGAATTATTATTATTCCTTGTATAATAACCAAGGAGCGGGGGGCACTGCTGAAATGAAAGAGAACAAGCTGGCCTCTGCAGACAGGCAGGCTGAGGGTTGGGAGGCTGGACAATTGCAGCCCTCACTGGTCCAGGTTTGTTGGAAGTCTCTCATATAACTTCATTCCAGAACTCTCCCTCCGCTGTTGTCACCTCTCAGCATTTGCTATTCACATATCTAGACTTCCCTTGTTCAAACATAAACCTGGAAATGCACTGCTTTGCTGATCTTCAATCAATTCCTTGGTCAGACTTTAACCCTCCATGCACATTTTATCAACCAACTGCAGAAGAGTGGAAATGAGCCCTCTATTCCTTGTGTTACCCTTTTTACCATCTGACTATGAGTATTTATCAACGCAAATTAGACTGGATTCTTTTTTCAGAGCAGGTAGAATGTGGAAGGAAGAAAGTAGAGAGGAGAGTTGAGGATAGGGCTGCCGTGATGGCTCTGTCCACCCAGATACTGTTGAGTTCATCGCCTTGTCTCTCAAATACCATCTGCTCATCCCCAGCTCTACCTTGGCCACTCAAGTCCAAGTAATCATTATTTCTCTCCTGGATGACTGTAATAGTGAGAGAGAAGCCCTGTATTCACTCTAGCACAATGGTTCCCAAACAGGTAATTTGGTCCCCCTGGGGACATGTCCCATGTCTGGACACATTTTCTTTCTTTTTTCATTTTTTTCAGTGATAGGGTCTCACTCTGTCACCCAGGCAGGAGTGCAGTGGCATGAGCATGGCACCCTGCAGCCTTGACCTACTGGGCTTAAGTGATCCTCTCACCTCAGCCTCCTGAGTAGCTAGGACTGTAGGCATGCACCACCATGCCTAATGGGTTGTTTTTGGTTTTGTTTTTTTTTACTTTTTGTAGAGATAGGATCTCTCTATGTTGTCCAGGCTGGTCTTGAACTTTTGGGGTCAAGTGATCTTCCTCTGTCGGCCTCCCAAAGTGTTAGGATTACTGGTGTGAACCGCCATGCCTAGCCTGGACACATTTTTGGTTGTCACAACTAAGGGGGGGAGAGGTACAAATGCCATCTACAGAGTAGAGGCCAGAGATGCTGATAAACATGTGGCAATGTGCAGGACAACCTCATACAGTAAAGCATTACCTAACCCCGAATGTCAGTAGTGCTGAGGTTGAGAAGCTCTGCTTCTAGTTCCCCTGCAATACCTCATGTATAGAACCATGATGTTTCCTGAAAGGGCAAGTCAGATCATGTCACTCTATTGCTTATGTTAGGGCACAGAGAATGATACCTAAAAGTATGATACTTGGGCATGCTGAGCATTTTTAAATGAATGGAAATCTGAGGGCCTTAGAAGCTGCTCAGAATCAAGGCCTCTCTAACCTCTTGTTTCTCTCCCCCTGGTGCAGGGAGGAGCTCTCCCTGGAAGTTACCTTATCTCACTAAGGAAAGCTTCTTCCAAAAGAAATGCAATCATCCGTGGCTCACACCTGTAATCCCAGCACTATAGGAGGACAAAGAGGGTGGATCACCTGAGGTCAGGAGCTTGAGACCAGCCTGGTCAACATGGTAAAACCCCATCTCTACTAAAAATACAAAAATTAGCCAGGCATGGTGGTGAACACCTGTAATTCCAGCTACTCAGGAGGCTGAGGCATGAGAATCACTTGAACCTGGGAGGCGGAGGTTGCAGTGAGCCGAGATCATACCATAGCACTCCAGTCTGGCCAACAAGAGTGAAACTCCATCTCAAAAAAATAAAAAAATAAATAAAATAAATAAAAACCCACTCCCTAGGAAACTCATCAAATAGCTGGGAATGATTAACCACCAGAGAAAAGACTAAAAGACATCACCATCACCATATTCGACAGACTTCATTTATTCTCCTGAGGGAAGCTCTAAGACATTATCTGGGAGACTTAATCTACATAATAAGACAACCTTTGTTCTCAGTGAAGTTCCACCCCTCACCTTTCCGAAACTTCCCTCAGAGCTCAGAAAACCTTTGTCCCAGGACATTTTCTGTTTTTTGGGCTCATTCATTATTTCCTCACAATCACCTATGTCCTCCATCTCCCTTTCCCCTATGAAAAGGGTACTATTTAGGCCTCAACTACCTGGCCCTTCTTTGAGTCTCTTATGTCCATGGGCACTTTAATAAATTTGTATGCATTTTTTCTTGATAGCTGCCTATTATCAGTTTGAGCTTTCAGAGGGAAAGTTTAAACTTCCCTATACTTAAAACCTTTCAGGCTGGACACCATGGCTCACTCCTATAATCCCAACACTTTGGGAGGCTGAGGTTGAGCAGATTGCTTGAGCCCAGGAATTTGAGACCAACCTGAGCAACATGGCAAAATACCATCTGTATTAAAACAAACAAACTAAAAACCTCTCAGTGGTTTCCTATTATTCTTAGTGCCAGAGGTGTTTGAACCAGAGCAACTTTATCTTGAATAGGGGCTGGGTAAAATAAGGCTGACACCTACTGGACTGCATTCCCAGGTTAGGCATTCTTAGTCACAGGATGAGATAGGAGGTTGGCACAAAGTACAGGTCACAAAGACCTTGCTGAAAAAAGGTGCGGTAAAGAAGCTGGTCAAAACCCACCAAATCCAAGATGGTGACAAAAGTGACCCCTGGTCATCCTGACTGCTCATTATACACTAATTATAATGGATTCGCATGCTAAAAGACACTCCCACCAGTATCATGGCAGTTTACAAATGCCATGACAACATCAGAAAGTTACCCGATATAATCTGAAAGGGGGAAACCCTCATTTCCAGAAATTGCCCATCCCTTTCCCAGAAAACTTATGAATAATCCCCACCTTGTTTAGGATATAATCAAGAACTGACCATAAAAATAGCCAACCAGCAGCCCTTGGGGCTGCTCTGCCTATGGAGTAGCCATTCTTTATTCCTTTTCTTTCTTAATAAACTTCCTTTCACTTTACTCTATCCACCCAGATACTGTTGAGTTAATTTCTACTGAGGTTTTGCCTTGAATTCTTTCTTGTGCAAGATCCAAGAACCCTCCCTTGGGATCTGGATTGGGACCCCTTTCTGGTAATGTTAGTATGAGAATTAAAACAAAAAATCCCTAGTTCCTTGAACATGCGTGATCCATCCTCCATGCTCCCCCTTTTCTTGTGTGTAGTAGCCGAACTGACTATTCCTTTATTTCTAGAAACCATCATACTTCTTCCTACCTCATGGGTTCTCAACTCATGTGATTCCTTCTTGTAAATAAGTTCCCTTGTTTTTACCGGCCTCTTCCCTTTTGCCTACTTAGAACAGCCTTTGAACCCCTCAGAAGACCTCAGCTCAAAGCTTACTGCATCACGGAATCTCTCCCTGACCACCACGCTGTGAAGTAGCCTGGGAAGAAAGGCCATCTCAGCTCTTCCAGCTGTTCTACCTGAAGCCTGAACATGTGAGTGAGACCACTGTGGACTCCCAGCTCTTGCTGAGCCCTCAGTTTTCTGCAGCTGTAGGAATGAGTCCACGTGAGGCCAGTGGCAGAACTACCCAATCAACCTTCACAACTGTGCTAAATAAATAAGTAAACGATGACTGTTTTTAATCACCTGTGTCTTAGGGTGGATTGCTATGTAGTAACAGATGCCTGATTCATTCTTCTTGTGTTTGAGACAGATCTTGTCTGTCGCCAGGCTTGAGTGCAGTGGGTGCCATTCTCGGGCTGCACTGCAAACTTCCTTCTCCTGGGTCAGCAATTCTCCTATCCTCAGGCCTCCGAGTAGCCAACTCGCTTACTCTCAAGGCGGGCCGGCCGATTCCTACACCCAGCTAATTTTTGCATTTTTAGTAGAGAGATTGGGGTTGTCACCACGTTGGGCCAGCTGGTCTCCGAACTCCTGACTTCAGGTGATCGCCCACCTCAGCGCTGCCCCGAACAGTGCTGGAATTATAGGGTAGCCAGTGCACGGCCAACCGTCAAGCCTGGCATTTCATTCTTTTTTTGTTTTTTGAGGAGGGGAGCCGCTCTGTCACCGCAGTGCGGAGGCAGTGGCGTGATCCGTGCTCACTTGAAGCTGCTGCCTCCGGGTTCAAGCAATCTCCTCGCCTGCCTCAGGGCTTCCGGAGTAGGCGGGACTACAGCGCCCCACCACACATACCCTGGCTCAAGCTTTTTGTATTTTAGTAGACATGGTTTCCAGCTGGTTAGCCAGATGGTCTCGTGAGGCTCTGCAGCCAAAGCTAAGTCACAGACTCCCCGGGACCGCAGCATACAGCATCTAGGATGGCGGTTCCTGCCCGTAAGTGATGACATGCCACCCAAAATGAAGTTGAAAGATGCTGTTCCTGCCTTCACTTGAGGACACTAGCCTGTGAGGAATTCCTTTTCCTGCTCTGCATGCCTGGCTCAAAAGCGTCCCTGACGAGCACTCGACGCGCCCCCACCCCTGCGCCGCCAGAGAAACAACCCCTTTGACGAGATTTTCCTTGTACCGACCCAATCCTATAGTAAGACTAGAAGACGTACAAAAATTGAGGACGTGGTGAGGGCAACCGTGAATCGCTAGCGCTTGGGAGACTGAGATCAGGAGATTGCGTTTGAACCAGGAGGCGGAGCTTGCAGGTGAGGCTGAGTCCAGTGCCACGCACATCAAGCATCTGGGGGACCAGAGCGGAGACTCTGTCTCAAAAAAAAAAAAAAGAAAAAACGAAGAGGGAAACGGTGGAAGCAAACGGATTGCAGGACGCAAAAATGATCCACGCCGGTTTATCGCGGTGTAGTCGCAGGGGACGGGTTCTATTACACCAGCATCCCATTGTCACGCAAGAAGATCACGAGGCTGGATAGCGATGATGTGAGACACCACTGGCAACAACAAACAGGCCGGGAACTGTCAGAAATGTGCGAAGAAGGCAGAAAGAGTTCGCATTCAGAAATGCTGAGGGGAAAAAAGTAAAATCGCTTAAGCAGCACCACCACACCAAGAGCGCATCCACAGGAAGCTGCCAGAGCAGGGGATTGCTAGGGCCCACCGTGGGCTGGCAGGGCCCGCTCAGCGACCGTACGGAGCGGCAGAGCCTGAAGCAGAGGCAGGGGGTCCGCCCAGGAGAGAGAAGTGATCCAAAAAAGGCGGGAAGTGTGAGTTATCGGAGGTGTGGAGCCTGACTAGCGAGCGGAGGGGGCGAAAGCGAGCAGAGGAAAGGCGCGCAGGAGACCTAAATCAGCTTTAGAGATTTAGCACAGATTCCTGGGCTAATAAGTACGATTAATCTAGACAAGGAGACTGATAACCACAAATAGATAGAATATTTAATACATCGTAAGCAACGTAAGATCCTGGTAGTAAGAGGAAAACATCAATAGCTGTTGTTTTGATTTTTGGAGAGTTTTTTTTTTTAATCAGTTCATTAATGATTACAGGTAGATAAAATGCTCTATACCCCATTTGGTCTGTAAGCCAGCAGCACCATCATCATCTGGGTGGTGTAAGAAATGCAGATTCTCAGGCATTACCGGCTTGAGCCACCGCCGCCCAAAAGAACG